CGGTCCACCTTTTGCATCAGGCTGCCCAGAAATCTATATGGAAGTTGGTTTGGAGCATAGACATTTACCAATGTATATAAAATATCGTTAATTCTAACTATCACTATAAGAAACCTACCACCAGAGTCAGCCTCTTCATAAACCAATTCGTATTTCAAACTACTTGAGAAGAAGATTGCCACTCCTCTTTTCTTATTCTTTCCTACCAAGTTGGATCTATGTACCACTGGAAATTTTTTATAGTTCCATACATTAGATAAAAAGTTAACCCAATGTGTTTCTTGTACGAAACCAATATCCGTTTTACTGTCTATCAATAACTTATGCAAATAACATCTTTTCTGTCCTGAGTTCAAGCCCCTTGCGTTAATAGATAGTATATTAAGTGTCATCCTGCCTCACTTCACCCCCCTTCCTCCTCCCACCCAGCCTCCCCTCAGGTAGTATCGAACACACAAATCCACTCCCCAAACCTTCCCCATTCGCCCATCGACTCATACCTTCCCCAGTTGGAAATATAAAATTAAACCTCCTGGGGAAGTTCAAACAACAATCTCTCAAGACATTTAACCCAAAATATGAAGTACTAAATATAGTCTTCATATCTAACCCTGCTGCCGTCGCAGGACCTTGAACCAGGCTAGTGGGTCATTTACCTCACCCTACCCCAAATGGGGAGAGAGACGAAGAAGAAAAAAAATAAAAAATAAAAATTAAATTTATAAAATCTTGTGAGTATTATGAACCACCTTTCCGTGCAATTCATGCATCTGATTTTAATTATGTGTCTAATAATCACTATCTTTAATCTTTTCATCCAATTTTTATTACTTTAAGTGTAAGTCTATCTCCTTATTCTTCAAATTCTTTACTTTTAATTTTATTTATAAATATTCACAAAATATCTACTAATACAGTTACTATTAAGTTATTAAGTATTATTTATAAAGACCCCTTTAGTGAATACAAGCAAAACTCCACTACGTTGGTTCTATACAGCTAAACCTAATTTTGTGTCTATATATATATATACAAGTTTTAACTTTAAACTATTCTCCTCCATACTCAATAATTTTGATATAAATATATCCTTATTGTTAAATTGTCGGTGTCACTCAGTATCACTCTAATACATTTCCATTCCCATCACACCGTGGAAAAAAAAAAAAAAATTAAAAAAAAAATAATAATTTAATTTTCCATTTTCCGTCTTATCTTTCCTCCCTCCCCCCTTAAGGGGTAATTTTAAGAGTTATCAATTTCTGCTTAAGTGCCATATTATCCTTGAAGATGTATGATTGATCTTTAAAAAAGACCATAATTGCCATCGGAAACAACCACTTGTATCTTATGTCCTTATCCCTAAGGATTGCCGTTTCTTCTGAGAAAGATCTTCTTGCTTGTCTTGTTTTTTGGGATAAATCTTGAAAAACTTTTAAATGTCTCCATTCTTCAGTATCTAAAATCCCATTCCTAATTTTCTGCAGTATTAGATTTTTTTATCCGAAAACTGGAGAAACAGATCATAACGTCCCTTGGATAGGATTTATCGATTCCATTTGGTCTGGACATTCTATGAAATCTTTCAAAGGTTTCAGGGCCCAGCGTCTGTTGAGACAGAATTTCTTGAAAAAAAACTGTCCAGATAGGAATATAAGTCTTCTTGTGTTGTTGATTCTGGTATACCTCTAACTCTTATATTATTTCTCCTTGAACGATCTTCTAAATTTGTCAGTTTAATCTCGACATCGTTCAGTCTTTTCTCTATCTGTATATTAAATAGTTTGATCTGTTCATATTCATCTTGTACTTTTTGTAGTATAATTGCCTGACTTGAGATTTTCTCAGAAAGAGTGGCAATTTCCAGTCTGAGATCTTTTGTATTATGTTCAATATCCGTTTTAATTTTTTTATACAGATTGTCCAACATTTGTGTTAATAATTGTTGCGTTATTCCCTGTGTATTTGGCAGATGCGGATAGTCTTCCTCGGATATATCTGATATTTGATGTGTCGAGAGCTCAGCATTTTCTAAAGGCAGAGATTTTCGTTGCCTCTCTGCTTCTACAGATGGCATTTTAGGAGAATAAAATGTGCCAATTGTTGCTTTCTTTCTCTCTGTGATTTGGGCTTTCTCTTTCTTAGGAGCCATGTGTAATAATAATAAATCTGTCAATAATTTCTTCTTCTTTTTTCCTATTGCTTAAAGATACTAGGTATTTTTTTGGCACATATATCTTTAATAGGCTTCCTTCACCTTCTTTCTTCCTTTCTTCTCCTTCCCTTCCTCCTGTTTCCTCTCTTTTTCTCTCTTTTGTTATGTCTTTATTGTGACTTTAAATTGCAGATAGCTATCCCTTTAAATAGCAATCCTTAGATTATCACTTCAAATATAAGATAGAGATAGAGGTCAATGGAGGTCAGTAGCGAATAGATGGGAAAGTGACCATTTACTCACAAATACTGTTTTATAGTTCTTAAAACTGTACTCTTATCCATTACATCACAGTACCAGAAGCCAAATTAATAAAGGATACCTATAAACTGACAGTCAGCCTGTCAGCTCATTAATAGCCCAATCTCCCTTTTTTTTTTTTTTATGCCATCAAAAAGATTTACTGCAGCGTTAAAACTTTGAAGCATTAGGCAATAATTAAGAAAAAAAAAATTTTCCGTTACTCAGCCGCCTAGCAGGATCGGCAGCCTCAGATCATTTCCTCCACCTCCACTTCAGCACTTCAGCACCGCACCGCGCCGCAGAGCTGAGCTGAGCGTCCTCACAGCCTTGATGTCTCGCCGCTCCTTTGCCCCACTTCCTGGTCCGAAAAAGCGCGCGGTCCTGCCGCTGACGTACGCACCTACGTCACGTACCGCCCGCCCTCCATAGTGATCAGGCATGCCATACACGCTGTTTGTCATTTGCCCTGTACAGTAAAAAAACGTGATTCATCCGTGAAGAGAACACCTCTCCAAAGTGCCAGACGCCATCGAATGTGAGCATTTGCCCACTCAAGTCGGTTATAACTATGAACTGCAGTCAGGTCGAGACCCTGAGGAGGACAATGAGCACACAGATGATGTTCTCTCACAGTTTGTGCAGAAACTTTTTGGTTAAGCAAACCAATTGTTGCAGCAGCTGTCCGGGTGGCTGGTCTCAGACAATCTTGGAGGTGAAGATGCTGGATGTAGAGGTCCTGGGCTGGTTTGGTTACACGTGGTCTGCAGTTGCTAGGCCGGTCGGATGTACTGCCAAATTCTCTGAAACGCTTTTGGAGATGGCTTATGATAGAGAAATGAACATTCAATTCACAGGCAACAGCTCTGGTGGACACTCCTGCAGTCAGCATGCCAATTGCACACTCCTTCAAAACTTGCGACATTTGTGGCGTTGTGCTGTGTGATAAAACTGCACATTTTAGAGTGGCTTTTTAATGTGGCCAGCCTAAGATACACCTGTGCAATAATTATACTGTCTAATCAGCATTATATGCCACACCTGTGAGGTGGATAGATTATCCCGGCAAAGGAGAATTACTCATTAACACAGATTTAGACAGATTTGTGATTATTTGAGAGAAATAGGCATTTTGTGTACATAGAAAAAGTATTAAATCTGTGAGTCCAGCTCATAAAAACTGGGGTAAAAACTAAAAAGTGTTGCGTTTTATAATTTTGTTCAGTGTAGTTTGGGTTCAGACAAATAGAGGTTTGTTCATTTGGGCTTTCGGTTCTGATGAATTTCATCCATGTAATTGTTTTGCAACAAAAATTATGAAAACGTTTGCCTATTAGTGCACTTTGATGCAAAAATTTTTTTTTACTTATTTTCTTCCCTCTATTGGTCAATTCTCACTTGATATGTTCCAAAATCAACATTTAGTGGCTGACCCACTAACCATCAATTCCCTTTTTTTGTCTTGATTGGACACAGCCATCCTCATTGGGCAGACCTTTTGTCCATCCTGGCAAACTAGCTGCTCATCCATTACCTGTTTACATTTTTTTTTGTATGGCATTTTGGGATGCCCAAAATTTGGATGAATTGCGATTTATTTAAAATTTTATGCATGTCACCCCTTTTCAGTCTCTGGCCACTTTTAACGGTCATGCATGTTTTAAAAAAAAATATTACAATAGCATGTGGTTACTTTAGACTTTTGTACAATACAAATGGTTCAAAGATAAAGTAGTAAATTATAAGTCATCCATGTTTGTTTATTTATTTATTTTATTTTTTTTACTCCTGAGCCTTACCTCTTTTCCCACTGCACGTATTGTTAAAATGTATGAGTTTTCCAAACTTGCATACAGTATGGTAGGAGAGAAGAGGGGCCTGCAGTTTCCCATTTCCATGTATATATCAACCTCTTCACCACACTGGGCGGAACATTTCCATAACTTACCAAGGTTAACGTCAGATCACCGTGGTCGTGGCAATCGTGGGGTTAACACTGTTGCTCGGTGCCTTGGCGTCCAAGGCAGACCAGCAACAGCCAATTGCGCTATCCCAACACCAGCAAGAGCTGTGACAGCCAGTTATAGTGATCACTGTGCTGCTGAGACTTCTGATCTGCCTCTCTCCACCTCTGCATGTGTAGAGATGAATTGTTACTAATACATTGTGTTCCATATTAGTTTAACCCCTTCATGACCGTGGACGGTTCAGGACTGTCATCAGAAAAATCCCCTTGAGGACCGGTAAAGGTCCTGAACAGTCATAATGGTATTATGTACTTACCCGATTGCCGTCGTTCCCCCGGCGGCGATCGGCGTTGCGCCCGGTGTGAGGAGACTGCCTGACAGGCTAGGCAGTCTCCCCGCAGCCACGTGATCGCTCACATGGCCACAATAGGTGTCCAAGTATCTGCCTGCAGTGGAACTGCCTGTACTGACAGGCAGTCTCCCTCCAAGTGTAAAATAAAAAAAAATAATGTTAATAAAATTTTAATTATATATACATATAATAATACACGTGTTATATATAAATAACAACACTATATTGTGTGTGTGTGTGTGTGTATATACATATATATATATATATATATATATATGTGTGTGTATACACACACACACACACACACACACACTACAAATAAGTAAATTATAATGAATTAAACGTAAAAATAATTTACATTTTACAAAAAATTATATATATGAAATTTTATTCTAATTGTATTTTGATAATATATATCTTTATATCAAAATACATTTAGAATGAAATTATTTATACACACACATTTATACATAAATAAATCAAAATACAAAATATATATTTATATCCATATACAAAAGCATAGATCTGGTTGCTTACTTTATTCAGATTGAAAAACTTCAAACTTGTCATGTCATTAACAATAGAGAAAGGTGTAGGAGGTGTTTTCTGTGTTTAGCACAAACGTTCTCCCTCTTCCTCTATTCCTCCTACTACACAAGAGGAAGAACCTATGCAACTTGGCTTGGTGTGTCGTTCTAAAGCAGATAAGCCATACAGAAGACGGGGGGACTATAGCTTTATTGAGTGAAAAAGGGGCATCTCAGTGCTAATTGCCAGGAAACACAACCTATGTCAGATTATGGAATCAACCATGCATATCATGTTTTTGACCCATAAAATACTTTTTTTATTTATTTATTTATTTTTTTTTTTTTTTATTGAAGATATTTATTGTAACAATGTCTTTGGCCACTCAAGTTTTATTCAACTCTGCAGTTGCCGACATTTGACATTTTTTTTAGACTTCTCCTTTGCTTCTCAGCATCTTATTCCATTGTCCAGAGTACACCACTGGCTTTTCAGGCCATTGATTGTGGACATCTCCAAAATCCCATAATTTCTGAGGAAACACTACCTATCAAATTAACCATGGGTATCTTAGTTTCAGAAACCACTTATTTTCAAATAATTTCTACTCTTTACTTGCCCTTGGGTTTCCATAGTTATTAAAACATAACCCTAATATTAATTGGGAGGAGGGTGAAATAGCATCTTTGGGTATCTTCTGTCAGCAAAACTGTCTTATTCCTGTTTTATTCATCCACAGCACACAATTATAATCAGATTACTTGATACCTGTCCCTTATCATGATTTAGCAAAAGTCTTTGACAAGGCTGAGGCTGATAAATTACCCCTCCACCACCACCGCTAGAATGGAACTATAGAATTGTTACCAAGGACATGCCTCTGTATAGACAGGACATATCCTATAATAAGCTTATGCAGGATTATGTTTTAAAGGCAATGAAAAATGGTTTTATGAGAGTCTTCTTTCCTGGAAGAGAGGGATTCCTCTTTTTGTTTTTTGTTTTTGTTTTTTTTGTTTGTTTTTTTTGTGGGCGGGGGGGGAAAGGTGTGGTGGGGACAAAGACTAGAAAAGGTTAAATAATATCACTGAACTTTGACAGGATCAAGGGATCCAAAATTTTTACTAATTTTAAATCTTAATAAGGCTCAATGTTTACACAGTTTTGCCTTTGCAGGTATCAACACACAATTCTTCTTATGGATAATCACACTCAAAAGAGGAGAACTGAATAAAGTAATAGTGCAGATTGTAAAACCAACTTTGGTATAAATTAAAGTGCAAGATGTGCTCACCTTGGTGAGGGCCCCATAGTCCCTTGCTCTAGGTGTTAAAGCTTGATGTCACTTAAGGGGTGACACTACCCACAGCTATTTACCAATAGGTGAAAAAACAGGATACTGCTAAAATATTCTATAGAGATATTATAAAATATATTTAAATAATTTTAATACTCACATATATAAAAACAATAAAGATGCAGTAACAGCAATTATCTAGTATTTAAATAGTGGTAAAACCTGTTTTGCCACAAGTATATTTATGCCTGTAAAATTATGCTTATGGGGGGGTGTGGCCTAGCAGAGACCGAGCACGGACGTGTAAACGCTAAGCTCCTCCGACTTGCAGTGTTTACAGCTTAAAAACCACATACAACCCTAAATTACAGCACCAAGAGTGGCAAACACACCGTGGCAACAATGCCATCGAAATCGTGCAAAAAATTGAAGCAGCGATCAATTCAAGTGCAACAGTCGCAGATGTTTGGGCCTGACGTTCAAGATGGCGCCGACTGCACTAGATCACCAGCCCTGTGTTCTGTGAGGGAGTTCACAGTGCCTTAGACCTCACACAGGCAGTTACCAACACTACTCTCCAAGCCATGCTATTGGACCTGAAGTCTACCTTCCACACCGATCTGCTACAATAGCCTCTGACGTACTATCAGACATAAAATCCCTGGGTGACCGGACCGTGCACCTGGAGGAACGCACCAAAGAGATCATACAATACTCTTGCAGAAGCCTACACCTCATTAGAGCACAAGCTCAAAGCACTGGAGGTAAAAGTTGCCGATCATGAAGATCGATGATAGGCGCAATAATGTGTGGATACAGGGCATCCCAGAATCCGTGACACCATGTGAGTTGCCGTATTATGTCCAAGATCAATTCCGGTCAGCCAGAGATGTAATCCCCAAGTTTCATTACTTTACTGTCAAAGACAGGATGATGCAGGCTTCCAGGAACTACCCACCACCTCCAGGTCCGTTTGAGCACATCAAGCTCTTTATTGATCTATCCTCAGCCACTATGATCAAACTGAAAACCTTTGCCCCTATTACAGCAGCACTGAGGACGGCAAATATACCATATAAATGGGGACTCCCGGCCAAGTTGTTAAAAGAAATGGGGCAGACAAGACCATCTTTTCCCCAGAAGACAGCAAGAAAATCCTCCAGAAATGAAAGATACAAGTGCAACCAACAGACAACTCTGCTTCTAACAGATGCTCCCATGTTAAGCGTAACCGGAACTGGTCCAAAATTACCCACAACAAGCACCGTGAGGCCTCCTGAATCCCTATGGATGGGTAACTGCTAACACCATAACTGTGTTCTGTGCATGGCTATTGCTACATAACAATTTTTTTAAACTTGCCTAGCTCTCCCCAGAGGAGATATTTAGCTAAGGTCTGCAGCATATGGATTGGTTTATACAAAATGATAACTCCAACACCACTATCGGGAGCCTATGTCCTGTACTAGACAGATGGCTCCTTTTACTTTTTGCTGGGTCACACCAATGGGTGACGCTTTGGGAACAAGTCACAAATGTTACCATTATACGATGTGCCGACATTAGTCGACAAACTGTTTCTTGTACATAGTTACCTACTTTTCTTTAAGTTCTTTATTATTCTGATCATTGAGGAGGCTTTGATTTTTTTTTTTTTTTTTTTCTCCTGGTCTTGGTTTTTACACTTTTTGGTTGAGGTGCGGGGGTTTCGGCCCCATGCCGTCCGTACACCAGTTGCTCTACCGCATTCAGCAACTCTATATACCATGGTATTAAAACTTTTTTAGCTAAATGAGAAAGGGCTCAATTTACCCTATAAACAGCTATTAGCGCTGGGGGAGGCCAAATCACAGAACACACATATTGCCTTCTACCAGAAACAGATTTCAAATGGGGCTACCGACTCAAATTTAACTCTAAAGATTTCCACTCATGATATGCCACCAAGAAAAGGGGGGTATCCATTTTAATCAGTAAGGATGTTGCCTTTTCTTTGGTTCTGAAGATAAGCTACAAAAAAGGGAGATATCTTGTTTTGCAGTGCTATGTCAATAATAACCCTTTTACCTTTATCAATGTATATGGTCCTAATGAGAATCAACATGTATTTGTTTTTGCATGGGTTACTGCCTACTCTTTCGTAGGTGATTATTGGAGGCGACACTCATTTTCTTATTAGATAGTAAATTGGACTCTTCCCAGCATAGACATACTGGCCCACACCCTGAAGCAAAGGGAGGTTCAATCCTCTAGTATACGCCACACTCTTATGACTAACAACTTCATAGACCCTTGGTGGCTGTCTCATTTGCTAGAGGGATTACTTCTGCTACACAGCAGCGCATAGCTGTTACTCTAGAATTGACAGATTCTTGATAACTGCCACCTCCTTCCCCCAAGCACAGGGCACTCAAACTGGCTTGATTAAGTGGTCAGACCATGCCCCAATCACACTGTCATTGAGGAAGCAACTTGCTAACCGTGGCTTGGGTAACTGGCACTTGAATGAGCACCTACTCATTGACCCAACTATCATGGAACAAGATCTGCGCAATTATTTTCACAAAAACAAACCCCCTGACTCCCCAGCAGACCACATTTGGTTGGCGCAAAAGGCAGTTATTTGAGGCAGTTTTATTAAACATGCTAGCTATGCCAAGAAAAAACGCCTTGAAAAATACACTGCCATACTCACAGAACTAACCACCTTGACGCATTCTAACAAACAAAATCCAACCCCATCAAAACATGTCAAAATGTTACAATTGCAGTCCCAACTCAGGGACCTCAAATTCTCTAAGACCACTTATATACTCAGGAAACTGAAGCACAACTTCTTCACTTCAGATAACAAAGCAGGAGCCAAATTGGCAGCCCAGTTTAGGAAAAAAAACTGGTCGCCTCGAGGATCTCCTGTCTCAAATTCTAAAGGGAAACTAATATTAGACCCCCAAATAATAGTGAATACATTTGCTAACGATTACCACTCACTGTACAATTTAAGAGATGACCTGAACACTTATTCCCACCACTGAAGAAATAGACACTCCTCTCAGACCTATGCCTATCAACGTTGCTCCCAGAAGACATTACGTACCTTACGAGCCCCATTACAATAGACAAAATATCAGCATTAATAGCCTCACTCCCAGCCCACAAAACCCCAGCCCCTAATATCTATTTTCACACCTTTTCTAATATCCTATCCCTACATCTCCTGGCTCTTTTCAAGCATAGTGCAGAGAGAGGATCTCTACCAGAGGAGATGTTATTGGCCCACATATCGACATTACCTAAACCAGGGAAGGCCACTATCGCTTGTAAGAATTATAGACCCATATCTCTGCTTAACGGTGATGCAAAGATCTGTGCAAAACTTATTAGCATCAGGTTAGCTCCTCTCCTGCCAAAACTGATTCACAATGACCAAACAGGGTTTGTGAGGGGTCAACAGGGCTCGTACAACTCCAGGAAGGTACTG